TGCACAGCAACGTATCGGATGCTTCCTTATGCGAGGCTGAAAAAAGTTGATCCATTCACACAACAGACCACTGTGCATGTGGCTGAAACAAACAGGATTCTAGGCATGTGGCCCTTCTCTGCTTTGATCCTAACATGCCAGGCTACAAGTGTCATCAACTCTGCCAGATAGCTAATGACCAGGGATGGTGGGAGCTGTTGCTCAACAGTCTGGAAACTCAAGGAAAGGCCAGTTTCAAGGATAGCAGATAAGCACTGTGTTTGCAGTTAGTTGCCTCTTATACTGTTGTCTTGCACATTTAGGACTCAATATATTCTTAACTTGACAATGTATATAGGCATTAATTGATTTTTTATTATGTATGTTATATTATGTGGGAATATTTTTGTGTTTTATTATTCATGTAAGCCGCCCCGAGTAGACTTTGTCTAGAGGGGCAGGGTATAAGTCCAATAAAAGTAAAAAAGTAAAGTAAAGTGGTAAACAATGACTGTACGGAGACTAAGCAGCTCAACAATAACTGCTATGTGGGAAGTCCTACATGTGCAAGGAAGGAGTGTGCCAGATGTGCTCATTCCTGATCCCCTAGAAAGTAAAGTAAACTGGTAAACAACGACTGTACGGAGGCTAAGCAGCTCAACAATAACTGCTATGTGGGAAGTCCTACATGTGCAAGGAAGGAGTGTGCCAGATGTGCTCATTCCTGATCCCCTAGACACCTTCAAGTAACCTCAGACAAGAGAACAGTGGTTCCCAATTTTGGGTCCTGCAGAGTTTACTACTAGATCTCAACTTCCAGAAGTCCCCAAATAATAGTCCCTGACAGTCAGGGATTCTGGGACTTGCAGCCCAACACCTGTGAATATAGGGATTAGAAACTGCCATTCTACACTGAGCACTTTCTTTGGGGTGGATGAAAGGACCTTTCTCAGGAAGGATGTTCCACAAGACTGCTAAGTGTTATCTCAAGTAGCAGGGTTAGAAAATACTTAGTTGAGAGATAGGAGGATTGCTGCCTGTCACAGTAGGCAAGACTGGACTAATGTATTTCCGAAGGCTTTCACGGCCGGGATCTAATGGTTGTTGTGGGTTTTTCGGGCGCTCTGGCTGTGTTCTGAAGGTTGTT